ATATATAAAGAAAAGCATTCCTTATCACTAATCATCAGGAGATGCAAATCAGAACAATAGTGAATTATCACCTCACACCAGAGATTGGCACACATGTCAAAAAGCACAGAAAAAAACAGCATTGGTATGGTGTGTGTGTATGTGTGTATGTGTGTGTGCGTGTGTATAAGGGGACCCTTAATTACTGTTGGTGGGAATGTTGACTGGTCCAATCTTTTGGGGAAACAATATGAGCAGTCCTCAGAAAATTAGTAATTGAGCTTCCAAATGACCCAGCAATTTCACTTTTTGAAATATACCCCAAGAGCCCTGAAACACAATGCAGAAAAGACATTTGTACCCCCCATCCTCATTGTAGCACTATTCACAAAAGCCAAAAACCAGTGCCTAAGAATGGATGACAGGATAAAGAAGCTATAATTCTACACAATGGAATACTGTGTGTGGGGTGGGTGGGTGGGTGTGGGTGTTGGGGGTGGTGGCCTGCGCATAAGAAAAGGTGTCACTTGCAAGATGCATTGCAAGGTACAATTTGTGGCTACATGAATGGATCTGGAGAGTATCATGCTGAGTGAAGTAAGTCAGAGGGAGAGGGACAGCCACAGAATGGAGAAACATAGTAGGGGAATAACAGCACAGCAATGGAAACAAAGGACATGTGAATTGGTCTTCAGTAGGAAGCTTACCACTGGGGTGGGGGTTTTGATGGAAGGGAAGGGAACACTAAGACAGTGGTGGTGGCAAGGGATTACTCTGTAGGAAGAAGGGGTGCTGAAACCCACCCCCCCAATAAAGTGACATGCATGATTCCCTATCAGTAACAGTACTGTAAACCATAGAGCCTAAAGGGGGAAAAAGCACCTGCCACACAGGCAGGAAGGGGAATGTGAGGGAAACTGGGTACAATGGTGGAGGGAAGTGATGAAGGGATTGGTGCTGGGACATTGTATGCCTGAAATGCAATCACGAAAAACTTTGTAATTCATGGGGACTCAATAAAAAATAAAGTGACTTTCAACTAAAGGTGATTTCTTGCCTCTCTCTCCAGGAACATTTGGCCATACCTGGAGACCTATCTGTCACAACTTGGGTAGTATGATTAGCATCTAGCTGTTTGGGGCCAGGGATGAGCTAAAATCCTACAATGCACCAGACAGCTACTGACGACCAACTACGATGTTTCAAAATGTTCAGAGATGGGGCTGGAGCGATAGTACAGATGGGGCATTTGCCTTGCATGCAGCTGATCCAGGTTCGATCCCCAGCATCCCATATGGTCCCCCGAGCACTGCCAGGAGTAATTCCTGAGTGCAGAGCCAGGAGTAACCTCTGTGCATTGCTGGGTATGACCCAAAAAGAAAAAAAAAGTTCAGAGCTGAGGGTGGGAAATCCTGATCTAGATTGTGGTACAGAGAATGTAATCAAACTTTTATCAAATTATTCCAGCCAAATCCCCTCATGTTTAGGGATATCATTTTTTCAGGGGTAGGGCATTTGTCTTACACGCAGCTGGCCAGGCCGAGCTGAATTCGATTCCTCCGCCCCTCTCGGAGAGCCCTACAAGCTACCGAGAGCATCTCGCCTGCATGGCAAAGCCTGGCAAGCTACCCATGACGTATTCAATATGCCAAACACAGTAACAGAAGTCTCACAATGGAGACGTTACTGGGTCCACTCGAGCAAATTGATGAACAACAGGAGGACAATGCTAATTTTTTCAGGAAGCATTTTAGAGGACAGACTGTCTCCTGACTACAGAGTAACTACTGTAAACTTTGTTGATGGAGAAGTTTGATATACTTCCTCAAAATTTTACAAAATAAGGGAGGTGCTACTGAGATACCATAAAAAGTGTCACTCCCCACTTGCTCTCTTCTGTATACTATGACATAAATTTGGAGTCTCTGAAGAGTTAAAAACAGGGTCTATGAAATTCAGGTGATCTCATTGTGTAAATTTCCCCTACTTGAGTGTGGGGGATAGTTTTTCTTTTTCTCTCATCCTCTGTTAGTTCCCACCAGTCAGATCTATTTGCAAATGACAATTGAAATACTGAACCTCTGTACTCATTATATTGAGTACTACAGTCAATGTCACTTTCCTTGTTCTCAGAAGTTGATTGCTAAATACAACAATAAACATTCACAACACCTTAGGCAATGCTCCATGTTTTCATTCATTGTGTACCTTTAATTATCTTTACCTCTTATAAAGCATTTTATAGACATATATGCTTATTAAAGACCCAATTAATTCCCATAATACCCATGGAAGCAAAGAGGGGACAGGTTATATTATTCAGCTTAAGAGGGAATAATTAAGCTTTGCCTGGAGGTACATACTGACTGTTGGAAGGGCTAGGGGGAAACTAGAAGGCTTGCCAATGGTGCTGTGTCAGAGATGCAGCATTCTGCTGATGACATTGATTCAACAGACTCTGGCTAGTGCCCGGTCATAATTCTTATTTAAAGGACCAGGGAACTCGCTCAATGGACGATACAGCAGTTACAAGTTTGTATCCAGCACTGCATGGTGCCTCGAGCACTCCCTATTAATAAAAGGATTAAAGAAGGCCTAATCCTAAAATTCCTTAAAAGTGTACACCGAGTGTGAAGGTGGTTGCTAATTAGGGAAGGATAACACAGCAAGGATATTTATCATTCTCAGTAGTTTCCTTCTTGTTTTTTTTGGGGGGCCTCGCCCAATGGTACTCAAGGACTGCTCCTGGCTCTGTGCTCTAGAACTGCTCTCTGGTGGTGCTCAGTGGACCATGTAGTGCCAGAGATGAAACACAGGCCTCCTGCATGAAGAGATGTGCTCCAGTTCATTGAGTTCTCTCGCTGGCCCAAGTTTACCCTTTTAAAATAAAATCATAGCCATGGAAGTATAAAAAGGAGCAAAGTATGAATTACACTCCAATAACTATTCCATATAGAATACTTGGTGCTAAATCCTAAGGGAGGCTTTATGGAGATGAAAGGTACCTATTTCCCACTAAATATTTAAGATTCAAGACTAATCTGCAAAGATCAGTGGATTGTGTCAAACTGTGTCTTGCACAGGAAGCTTCTATGTCCGCAAAGGTACAGGAGTATTTAGAAATAAAGTGGAACTGGAGATGGACCTCAAAATCCTAGCAGCACAGGTTCAAGTGAACAGTAAGAAATCTAGGTATTGAAATAGTTTCCACCAAGGGGTTAATGAATTTGGCTGGGATCAATTTTTGGCTAGTCTCTGGAAGAGATATAAATACAATCGGTCACTGCCAGCTATTGAACTGAAAGTAGAAAAAGTCAGACTGTAAGGGGAGAGATAAACAAGTGCAGAGGAGATAGGGGAGACTTCGAATTTCTCTCCATATTCTAGTTCCTTGTTCTGATCTAAATCTGGGCCTCAGCTGCACTCTGTGCTCTGCCCCACGATCCTCAAACAAATTCCAGGTCTTTTTGTTGACCCACGTGAGAATCCCAGCAGTTATTGGATCCAGGAATCCTAGCCGAGGGCATAGGAATGAATACAGAAGATTGAGTGTTACCAGATCTGAGCTTAGCGGCACATATTTGGAAGAAGTCCTGTTGTCTGCAGCTGGCTTTTTGGTAAACCCTGGTTGGAAAACCAGGTTGTGGGTGGGCCAGATGAGTTTGAAGAGCTAAGCAGGCTCTTGAGGTCTTGTTTTGCTCTCAGCCAGGCTCTGCAGCTCCTAATTCATGAAACAAATTGCCGTGAACACAATGAGCCGTCTCTCCAATTTTCTTGAACTCTCTTTGACTACAGTTTGGTGAGTGATTGCTGCTACTGCAATCCAGGTCAACTGGATACTAACAGGCCAGTTTCAATCAGGTTGGGTCTCTTCTAAATGCACAAGAGTCATTCACTGCAACTTAAATCAGCATAGCTCTCTTGGCAAGTGCACTGCTTGCCTCAGTACTGGTTCTCAGTATTAATTTTAATGTATTTAGTTGACAGATTATGACTTGGCATGATTTAATTTTTATTTCAAAGTCGTCTTGACAACACTGTAATTTGTGATGTTATGTACTTGAGAACTTTAACATTTCCCAATCAATAGATGCTGCTTACAGTTTTAATAAAAAGTGCACAGGTCTTTCGGGTTGGTTTTACTGAGAGGGGCAATTGTTTCTGTTAGAAGCTGAAACAAATGACAATCAGTTGTGACTTAAGGATGAAAACTGCGTTTCATATCAAAGAGGGCACACGCTAAAAGTGTGTCTTAATATAATATAATCACCTCACCCAGAACTTTTCTTTCCTGAGTTTGTGATTTCTTTTTAGACCCCGCTCCCAGGTTTCTCCTCTTCTAAATCATATATAAAATTGTCATCATGCAAAATGATAACAAGTTTTTATATTTCCTGATTGACAGGAGTCATCGAAAACTAGTGGAAAAGTTCCAGTTACAACCCATTTTAAGTCTACAGAGAAACAGAAATAATGACAAGGAGCCAAAGAGAGCAACACGGTCCTTACTATTTTGTGGCCTTGAGCTACTTTTTGGGTGGAGGAGCGATTTCTCACTCGCCGAAAGTCAAGTCTCCCTCACAGCACCTTGGCTTCGGGCAAGCCGAACGGACAGAAACAGCGTCCCGACCCGGGCCGGCCGCGGCTTTCTGGCGCTCCCTGGGCGAGACGCGAAGGCGCGTGGCCGAAGAGCCGTCCGCACTTTTCCCGCGGTCCAGAGCGGCGCGAACCTCCCGCGGGCCGACTGACCCCGCGCCTGCCGACGGACTGAGGGACAGAGGCCCGCCCGACGCCCCCCGCGGAAGCCGGTACTCGGCCCCCCCTCCCCGCCCCTCCCCCCAGGCCCACTTCCCCGGGGCCCGTTCTGAGACTGCAGGACCCCGGCCCCCGCGCGGAGGCTCCCGGCGCGGTAGGTCGAGACTTCGGCAGGGCGAGGCGCCGCTGAGGAGACGGGGGGCGCGGCGGAGCTCGGGGGCCCGACGCGCGGCTTCGCGGCCCGCCCGACTCGGGCCGGACGCCCGCTAGCGCTGGGAGGGGGCTTGGGAGGCCCCCGACCCCCCGCTCTCCCGCTTCCGCCCGGCGGGCGCAAGCAGCGCGGCCCCCGGCCCCGGAGCCCGCCCCCCGGCCCCCCAGGCACGCCTAGGGCACAGCAGCGGCGCCGGCGGCGAGGCGGGGCCGGGCCCGAGCCCCGCGCGCGGTGCGGCGCGGCGCGGCGTGGCGCGGCGTGGCGGGAGGGGGCGCCCAGCTCGCGCCGCGGGCTCGCGGGTTGGGGCGCTGGCCGCGGCCCCGGCGAAGATGGCCGCCCGCGCCGGGACAGTCACGTGTCGCCGCGGCCGCCGCGCGCCCCCCCGCGTCCCGCCCCTCTGTGGGGAGGGGCGGCGCCTCTCCCCGCTGGGCCCGGACGCGCGCGCCGCCCGGAGCTCGGGCGCGGGGGCAGCGCGGAGGCCGGCTCGGCCGTCCCGGACCCGGGCCTCGGGCTCTGAGCCCCGAGCGCGCGGAAAGCCTCGCTCCGGGCGGCCGCGCCGGCCCGGCTCCTGCGCATGCGCAGTGCTCGCCGTCGCTCCGGGTTTTCCCCGCAGCTCGCCGGGGGGGTGGGGGGCGGGGGGCGGCCGAGCTGGACTGGGGCGGCCCGAGGTCCCGGGGTCCGTGCGCGGGGCGGGGGCAGCCTGCGAATGGGAGGTTGGAAGCGGATCCAAGTCTCTGAGGCCCCCCGCCCGTCCTCGGGCGATGCTCAGTCGGGAGTGGATCGCCGCTTGCAGCCCTGAGGCTGGACCAGGAGGCCGCTGACCCGCCTTAGCTGGCCGACCCGCGGCCGGGAGCCGGGGCACGAGAATCGGCTTCCCGATTCGACCCGATTCCTGCTCCCGCCACCTTTCAGTTCGGCTTCAAGGGCTGCGACCGACCGTCCCTGGCCCTTAAAGCTCGCCTCCTAAACGTAACGCAGCAAAGTAGAGAGCGTGGGGACCCTTGCCTGCCCTGGCAGGGGGAAGGATTCCGGGGATGTTGGTGGTGGGGCGTGTGCACCAGTGGAGGCGTGGGTGTTTGATCATTGTGTGGCTGTGGCCCAAACACGACAGCCTGTAACGATCTCACGGAGATTCAGGAAAATTAAAAAAGGAAAAGACAAAACGGTCACCACTGCACACACGCAAGGAAAGCTGGCCTCCCGTTGGCCGCAGAAGCGCGCGAGCTGGACTTTCCCGTCCGTCGGGAGCAACCACCTTTCGGGCTCTCCGGGACGCCGAAGCAAAACCCAGCGCGTTCGCGGGGGCCGGTGGGGAGCGGGGCTGGAGGGGGCGTTCCCGCCGCAGGTCGGAGCTCCGTCCCGCGCGCCCGGGGACGAGCCCACCGCGGACCCCGCCCGCCGGCCCGCCCCCCGGCCGCCGCGAACACCCGGAGGAGCGGATCGCGGGGCGCGGAGGCCGGCGGCTGGGGCCGCGGACTGGGCATGCTCCGCAGCCGGCGGCTCGCGGGGGCGAGTCGGAAGCGTTCGCGGCGGCCGGCCAGCGGCCAGGGCAGCGGCGGCGGCGGGCAGGACGGGCGCGGGCACGCCGGGCCGCCGGGCCGGGGAAGGCTGCGCTCCCCTGACGCCCTGCGATCGCGCCCCGAGGGCTCGGCCGCGGTGCAGAGCCCCGACGCTGCCCTGGCCCGGGTTTCTTTCCGCGTGGGGCGGCGCGGCGGACGGGATTGCGGCGGTCCGAGTGAGTCGCGGGCGGAGGGGCGGAGAGCCGCGCTCGGGGGCGCCGGCCGGGCCCGAGGCCGGGGAGGGCGTGCGGGGAGCCCCGGGCGAGGGGGCGTGAGCGCCACCCGCGCCGCGCCGCGCGCGTACCTGGCGGGCGCTCCCTCGCCCGCGCCCGGCCCCGGGGGTGGGCGCCGAGGGCGATCCGGCGGCCGGGCTGGGGCGTGGAGGGGGCGCACCGCCCGCGGGGCTCCCGGGCCGCGTCGGACCGAGGAGGAGGGCGGGGGCGTCGGTGGCACCTCTGCTGCGGGGCTGCGAGCGGGCCGGCGGACCCGCCTGGGGGGTTTGGGCGAGAGGGGCCGGCGGCGGGCCGAAGAGCGGGGAGAGGAGGAATGCTCGGGCCAGGGGCCCGGTCCGGCCCGAAGACCCCCAAGGGGGTGGCCCCAGTCGCGGCCCCACCCCCACGGCCCCGGCTGGCGGCGTGGCAGTTGGCACCTCGGGCCCGATCGCAGCCGGCCGGGCGGCCCGGGTTTCGGGAGAGCCCCCTCCCCCCGCCGCCCTCGCCGCCACCCGCCGCGTCCCCCGACAGCCGAACAGGTGGGACCCTCCTTTGGGGAGCTGCGAGGTCCCCTCCCAGGCGCGCCGGCCTCCGGCGGCGAGGGCAGCTCGGCGACCCCGCGGGGGCGTCCCGGGTCTGGGCAGCGAGTGTCGGCGGAGGCCGGAGCGGCCCGGGCGCCGCCTGCCAGGGGGCAGCGTCGTCAGGAGGCGGCTCCGGGCGCGAGGCAGGGGCGCGAGGCAGGGGCTCCGGTGATCCCAGGGCGACCGGTCAAGGGCAGAGCGGCGACAGGCTGCTCCCCCCCGCCCCCCAGCGCCCTCACCCCGACTCTCGGGCTGGTGGCTGGGGCCGGGCCCCGGGAGGGAGCCTTGGGTGCAGCTAACGGATCGGGCGCGTTCCGGGTAGAGCGCAGAGTCGGAACGAGGATGGGGCTGGCTGGCGACGGGAGGGAGGAGAGAGAGCTGGGCAGGTGCCGCTTCTCGCCGGTTCTTTTCACCTTCAGACGGCACCAGCCTTGGTGCGCACCGCACTTTGCGACGCCCGGAGCGCCCAGGCTGCTTGCTCTCCGAAGGGAAGTTGGCATTTTTCTGGGCTAGGGCGTTCTGCACACTTTTAGCTCTCTCTCTCTCTCTCTCTTCTCTGCCTCTGCCTCGCTCGCCTGGACCTTCCTGGACCTTGGGTGCAGCGTGGACAGGCTCATCGCGCTCTCAGGTTTTTGCGGGCTTCCTGGTTGGCCGCCTGGATGTGACAGCGCCCAGTGCCCGTGATGGTGTGATGAGAACTCCCCGCACTGCTGCTTCACTTGGCCCTGAAGGAGGGGAGCGGGGCTGACTACGTCCTCGCAGCACGATGGGATGGGTGTTGCCCCGGCTACCGCACCTAAGGGGGCTGGCCCTTCTGGCCTGTGCAGAAGGCCGTGCGTGGGTGTCGGTGTAAGATGTCCACGGGAGAAGCCAGGCGGGGGATGGGCCCCTGTCTGTTCGCTGCTCCCAGGGAAGCCCAGGGATGTTTGGTGATTCAGCAGGTGGCAGCCTTCCAGCTCTGAAGCCGTGCCTTGGCCAAGCCAGCCAGCCAGCCAGCAAGAGGCAGCGGCCCCTGTACATGCTGTCAGGTGCCGCCACTGGGGGAACCCCCCCGGAGCCGCCTTCTGTCTGTAGCTTGTTTTGCTCGCGTGAGCTCTGGAGGCCCTGGTCTTTTTTGGGGGCGGGGTTCACTCCAGCTTCTCTTTTTTCAACGAGCATGTTTTTGAGTCTTCTCCAAACCCGGGGACCTGCTGAATTGCAGGACATAGCAGCTGAGCTCACACACACATTAAGTAGTTACTTTATAGCAAGCGATGGCCATTGCAAAAGCAGAGAAAGCCTTAGTTGGGTTTCATGGACTAGCTGTTTACATTCTTAATAAAATAGTAAGATATATTCTGGCAGATTTCCAGTGTCGACAGTTCCTTCCCCTCTCCCCCCAAATCATAAAGCACACACGCACTCAAAGGCCCTCGAAGAATAAATTAAATTGTCATTAAATGGACACTGTCCTTAGAACTTTGTAAAAACCCTAATATTTCACATAGCTCCTAACTTGTTGGCTTCCAGTAAATGTTTATGAAGCCGAAGTGAAAACAAGACATTATAACAGAGGCTTTGCCTTTTACCAGGCACCTTTGGGTTCAGAGCCACATCCTCAGTCCTCTGCTCAGTTTTCAAGTTCTATAAGTGTAAAACATCTTCCCTCAGCATTGCTAGATTAAGTACACATTGGCACTAGCATATCTTTCGACATTGGAAGGATCTTATACGACTTCATGAATCAGACTTGCATTGCACTAGGCCAGCGAGATGATTCGGCAGACCAGAGCATGTATTCCTGGCACCACATGCTTCCTTGAGCACCGAGCTGGGAGTAGCCCCCCCGAGCACTGTGAGGTGTGCACCCCCTTTGCCTGTGTTGACCTTACACTTTTGATTTTAGATTGAATTAAAATTTGAAAACATTGGCTTGAGTATTTCCTGATTGAATCCCTTAATTTCCAAATTATTTATTAATTTCCACTTCCCCTCTTCCCCGCCTTTTCCCTCATTCTTGTGCTGAGGTGACTGGGTTCTGTATTAAGTGAGGGTTAGTCATGGTTCTCCCATGGGCTCACATAGGCTCACATACTTGGCTGAGGTGCTTGCCAAGCAACACACTCCTTTAGTTGTTGTGTTCACATTGTGGTTGTAGTGTTTACGAGGGCTCACACCTATTGCTGTGGCATTTGCATGATTTGTAGTTGGGGTGCTTGCAGGGGCGTTGTAGCCTTTGTTTGTGGTGCTCACACACGCTTGGCATGGTGCATCTGGAAATGGCTTGCAGCCCCGGGAGTACAGATAGCAGAGTTGCCAAGCTTGAACAGCAGAGATAGCAGGATCTCATGTGGTGGAACCAGAGATTGCACTCTTGACCATACACTTGGAGTACAGGCTTTGTTCAGCCACTAAACTCTCTCTTGGATCCTTGTAATTTTCTGTTTGTGTCAGATTCTGCATTTGAGCTCAAAAGAACAACAAGTCTTGCTTAGGTATATCAAGGACTAAAGAACTCATATTTAGTCTTTTTTTTTTTCTTTTTGGGTCACACTTGGCGAAGCACAGAAGTTACTCCTGGTTCATGCACTCAGGAATTACTCCTGGAGGTGCTCGGGGGACCATATGGGATGCTGGGAATCGAACCTAGGTCAGCTGTGTGCAAGGCAAACGCCCTACCTTCTGTGCTCTTGCTCCAGCCCCCATATTTAGCCTTTTTAAAAAGATTGTTTTTGCCTTTTCTTTTTTCTTTTTCATTGCTAGGGATTAAACTTGGCTTACACATGTAAAAAATTTTTTTGGATGTAATTTAATTTAGTTTTTCGGTTTTTGTGCTACATCTGGCAGTGCTCGAGGGTTACACCTGTTTTATTGTCCTCAGCTGTCCTCCGTGGGCCTTGTGCTTTGAACCCAGGCCTTCGATAGACAAATCATGAGTTCAGCCCACTAACCCATCTCTTTGGCCCTCGCTGTTGTTTTTTATTTTTAAAATAAAAAGTGTGCCTGCTGCATATTAAATGTGGTTTATTTACAAAGCTTGATTTTATATTACGCGTTTAGGGAAAACGTTCTCCGGAATTCCCACCCCCTTTACTATGCCATAAAACCTGCTGCTTTAGAGAAGATGGAGTGTTTTGGGAATAAAATTTATGGTTTGTATAGGGGAATAATCTCTTCAGTTTTTGGTTTTAGTCTACCATTGCTATTCCACACCTTCCTTTGGTGTAGTTGTCTTTTTTGCTGCTTCAAAGACGTGATTTCCCGGCATAACCTTGTTTACTTAAAGCTTCTGTGGGAAAGGTCTGTTGCATTTTTACACTTATATCCAGTCAGAGTTGGTATTTATTTATTTATTTGTATTGTCCCATACACTTTTCCTCGTATTCGATATGCCAAACACAGTAACAACAAGTCTCAAAATGGAGATATTACTGGGCCCGCTCGAGCAAATTGAAGGGAGGACAGTGACAGTGATAGTGACACTTCCTACCACTTTGTACAGTGAACAGTTTAAAGACCCTTGAAAAACCATGACTAGCATACTTCTGTAGGGCATGACAGAATACACATGGTTTCTTCTTGGCTTTTTTGGATGGTAGCTGTCGACATAGTGATCTCCTTTGGAAGAACCTTTACTTCTTGCCTGTGTTAAAGATTTTGGCTCTTCTCTTAAAAGACTCTTGTTTAGCAACATAATTAGCCATTTATCATCTTCTATTTAGTGACTTTTTGTTTTACCCAGTCACCAGAGGACCATATTTTGAATCAGTTCATTTGGATGTGGGAACAGGGAGGTAACAATGGTTGTGGGGAAGGGGGAGAGTGAAGAAAGGGGAACGGGGGAATGGATGGAACTAAGAAGATGACTTGATTTTATAATTATGATTTCTGGTGTTATTAAAATGAAATTGAATGGCCAGTCAAGTGTGGTTCAGTGTTTATTCTTTTCCACTCCCTTCCAGAAGCCTTATCTACAAATCACCCCTTTTCTTCCCCTCTGCACCATAGTAACAGGCAGGAGAGAGACACAATACAGACAGAGATGTAGACTCATACATCCTTTGCCTGAAACCAGGGACCATGGTATCTTTCCAATACTGACATGTCAAAGAGGAAAGAAGTCTGTGGCATTGAGTTCTGGACAGCTGCAGCTACCCCTAGCTTGTGTTTCAGTAAGATTCCCCCTCTGTTGCTTGGTGGCAAGCTCATCTGCCTCCTTGACCCTGCAGAGCTGCTGCAGGCTTTAACAAGCGTTATAGGTACTTGTGGTGGGTGGACATGTAGAGATCACTGTCACTGTCACTGTGCTCCCGTTGCTCATCGATTTGAGCGGGCCCAGTAACGTCTCCATTGGAGACTTTGTTGTTACTGTGTTTGGCAAATCAAATACATCATGGGTAGCTTGCCAGGCTCTGCCATGTGGGTGAGATCCTCTCGGTAGCTTGCCCGGCTCTCCGAGAGGGGCGGAGGAATCGAACTCGGGTCAGCCATGTTGGCTGCGTGCAAGGCAAACGCCCTACCGCTGTGCTATTGCTCCAGCCCATGTAGGGATAATCTGGTGATTTTTCCTTTCTTTTTCTTTTTTGTCTCTTTTGCCACACCTGGCTGTGCTGGGATGGTGGATAGTGGCAGCTAATTCTGGGTGTGCTTGGGAAGTAGGGGGAGTTGCTCCCTGTAGTGCTTGGGGGACCACGTGGTACCAGAAATTAATCTGGGCCATCCACATGTAAAACACGTGCTCCTGCCCACCCGTTGAGCTCTCTCTCTGTCCTGTGGTCTTTATTTCTTAGGTTTGTGGTATTGAGGGTTGAGTCAGTGTTCTTTAGTTTTTGGCACAAAAATCCCCTTTCGGTTGCCAAAGCCTCCATTGTATTTCCCCTCCTTATTCTATTTCCATTTCTCCTATTGGAGAAAAGTGCTCTCCTGTCCTATGTTCTTAGCTATGTTTGCATCTTTGTTGAAGGTGTTTAATGGGGCTGGAGAGAGAGAGAGTGCAATGGAATAAGTGCATCCTCTGCATTGGGAGGCCTGGTTTTGATCCTGATACAAGGCCTCTGAGTTCTATCCTGAGTGCCTCTGGGTGGAACTCCTGAACACTGAGTTGGAAGGAGCTCCCAGCACCACTGAGTGTGACCCTCCCCTGCCCCCCCACACCCCCAAACCAAAAGATAAAAATGATGTGTCATTTTCTGTAATTTCTCAATTCATTTCATTTGGTTCCCTAGTGATGGGCTTGTAGCTTACCTCCCCTCCTGCTCCCACGAGCCCCGCCATGACGAGCATCCTCTGTGGGACTGGTGAGGATGTCTTTAGGGGATGGTTTTCAGATTGGTTCAGCTGCCTGGGAACTGTCAGACATGCAAATTGTTATGCTTTAATCCAGACTTCCTAAATCAGCAACTCTCCAATACCCATCGATTTGTGTTTTGACATGTCCAACATGTTCAGAGTCCTGGGTAAGTTTGAGCACCACTGCTTCTAAGGAGTGCTCAAGACCCAGGAGTGGGGTCTGGGTGAAAGAAAACAGGCTCTCCTGATTTTACTGAAAATGACAAATTATTGTCCAGTGTTGGTTAAGACTCCCACGTGCTCATTAGTGATTGGTATTAGCCACCTTTTTAATATTACCCCAAACTGAGGGTTATAATGTGGCTTCTCACTGTTTCCATGCAAATTTATGTCACTTCTTAGTGAATTTGAGCATCCTTTAAGGTATTTGGTAGAGATTACAATGCCCTTGATTCCTTTTTTTTTTTTTCTTAAGTTTCTTTGCTTTGTTTTTTTTTTTCTTAAGTTTCTATCGCTCGGCCTGGAGCGATAGCACAGCCGGTAGGGCGTTCGCCTTACACGCGGCCAACATGGCCGACCCGAGTTCGATTCCTCTGCCCCTCTCGGAGAGCCCGGCAAGCTACCGAGAGTATTCGATATGCCAGACACAGTAACAACAAAGTCTCCAATGGAGACGTTACTGGGCCCGCTCGAGCAAATCGACGATCAATGGGAGGGCCTTTAAGTTTCTTTGCAGATGATTCTTATATATTCTAGATATTAGTTCTGTTCAACCCTCTGGTCACTTTGATGGTGACCTTTAGAAATTTTACTTCTTTTTCTTTTGTTTTCAAACTTTACTCTGTTTTATTCAGTTTAATTTGATTTAAATATCTTAAATTTATGCATTTAAGGTAAATTTGAGTTGAAGAAACTAGCTTATGCATGAATTTTTAAAAATCTTTTTTTTTGAAGCTCCCTGAACAATAACTTGTTTGGAGCAATTATTATTATTATTATTATTTTTGCTTTTTGGGTCAAACCCGGTATTGCACAGAGGTTACTCCTGGTTCTGCACTCAGGAATTACTCCTGCTGGTGCTCAGAGGACCATGTGGGATGCTGGGAATCGAACCCGGGTTGACTGTGTGCAAGGCAAACGCCTTATCCTCTGTGCTATCGCTTCAGCCCCTGGAGCAATTTTTTTTAGGCCATCTCAACCCCTGCCTCTGTGGTAGGAACCTCCCCCCCCCTTTTATTTTTTTATTAGTGAAACACCATGAGGTACAGTTGTAGACTTACAAACTTTTGTGCTGGGTTTCAGTTATACAATGATTGAATACCCATTCCTCCACCAGTGCCCATTCTCCACCACCAATAATCCCAGTAGCCCTCCCACCTCCCCACCCCATCCTCCCCCAACCTCTGTGGCAGGGCATTCCATTTTGCTCTCTCTTTCCTTTTGGGTGTTGTGGTTTGCAATAGAGGTATTGAGTGGCCATCGTGTTCAGTCTGTAGTCTACGTTTAGCACACATCTTGTATCCGTATCCCGAGTGAACCCTCCAGACATCCTTTACTTGGTGTTCCCTTCTCTGTCTGAGCTGCCTTTCCCTCCAGTATGTGCTGCCAGCTTCCAAGCTATGGAGCAGACCTCCTGGTACTTATCTCAACTATTCTTGGGTATTCGTCTCCCATTCTGTTACTTTATATTCTCCAGATGAGTGCAGTCTTTTTATACCTGTCCCTCTCTTTCTGACTCATTTCACTTAGCATGATACTTTTTATGTAGAACCCCTTGTATGAAAATTTCATGACTTCATCTTTTCTAATAGCTGCATAGTACTCCATTGTGTAGATGTACCAAAGTTTCTTGAACCAGTCATCTGTTCTCCGGCACTCGGGTGTTTTCCAGATTTTGGCTATCGTGAACAGTGCAGCAATGAACTTACAGGTGCAGATGTCATTTTGACTGTACTTTTTTTGCCTCACGATCACAATCATCCTGTTGTTCGTTGATTGCCTCGAGCAGGCCCCAGTAACGTCTCCTTCGTCCTAGCCCTGAGATTTTAAAAAGTGCCATATTAAAGGCTCTTTCAGGGTTAGGAGAATGAGACCCATCATTGTTACTGGTATTTGACATATTGGGTACACCACGGGGAGTTTGCCAGACGCTGCCTATCCAGGATATATTCCCAGAAGTGGTATTGCTGGGTCAAATGACAGCCCAATTTCTAATTTTTTGAGAGTTGTCCATACTGTTTAGAAATTTTCCTTCTTGGATAGTCCATTCCTGTTGATTTTTCCTTAGTGATATATAGTAAGAGTCTTAGGATGTTCTATTATCCTAAAGTGTTTGGTTATATTAGCTTCCTGTTTTTACGTTTCATAATGATTGTTTTGGGGGGCCCTCCTCGAAGGGCTGTGGAGGGCTGCACACCAGGCATGCGCTCCAACTCTTTGAGATTCTTCCTTGGCTCCTCACAATGCACACTTCAATCTGTTTCATTTTTATCATCATATATGGCAAAAATTTTCCAGCTTTTTCTTTTTTTCCACATCATGAGCAAGTTGTCCCTGTATCATCTACTAAATAATATACTAATTTCCTAATACTTTATTTTGGTGACTTTGTCTTTCTTTATCATAGATCAGGTTCCCAAATGCACACATGATTTTTTTTTCAACTTTTAAAGAATATAGCTCGGTGGTTGAGTTCTTGCTTTGCATGAATTTATTTCCCGGCTGCAGAAAAAATATTTTTTCTTTGAAATGTAGGTGTGGTAAACTTGTGTTCACTCAAAGTATACAGTTTAATGAATTCTGACAGATGTGCAAACTATGTCATTTTAGAGGCAAGGTACAGAGTATTTCACTTTGAAACTTCTTGGACCTCTTTGCATGTGTGTGTTGGTCCATCACTTCTTTTCACTGTTTTTCACCATAGATAGAGTTTTCTCCTCTCTAGACATACAAATGGAGCTGTGTTTTATGCTTCTGTTTGTGCTGGTTCCTTTCCCTCAATATAACTATAAAGCTGACTCTACAGGAGGGGAGCGGATGCAAACTAGAAGGGGAAGCCCTAGAGGAAGGAGGAGTGGCAAGTGAGGGAGGAGGTAATGGAGGACTGGGGAGAGAGCTCAAAGAGCTAGCCCCTACTTTGCATGCAAGAGCCTCAGGTTCCATCCCTGGCACCATATGGTTCCAAGAGCATTGCACAGAGCAATCCCTAAGCACAGTGCCGGGCGTAGCTTTTTGAGCACCCCAGGAACAGTAAACTAGACCTAACATAGAACTTATCAAGCCATTTTTGTTTTCTTTTGACTGCTGAAGCAGGAACCTAGGGTCTCATCGATGAATATGCATTCTACCACTGAACTACATCTGTAGCTCCATACCACACCAGTTTTCAGTGTACATTTTAGTAGCATTAGGTGCTTTCACATTCTTATGCAACCATCGCTGTGGCTTATCTACAGAAATTTCTCATTTCCCCAAACTGAAATTCTCTTCTCATTAAACTCAACATTCTGATTTTGATACTCTTCATGGGTCTTTCTTTCATTTCTTCATTATGTTAGAATGTTTGTTCTCATCTGTGTGTTTCTGAACTGCCAGTATATTTATCCCTGCAGCTCCGTAGTGTGGGGAAAAGTTCTTCCTTTGTTGTTCTTTTCAGAACTTGCTTTCTGGTGGACCCTTCTTCCATATACACATTGAAATGATTTTGCTTAGTTTTTGACATCAAAGTCCTGAAAGTGTGATTGACATTACACATTGAATAGTTTAATATGGGGGAGAATTGATATCCTTTCTATCTTAATATTATGACTCTGTCCACGAAGATTGGTTCTCATTCGTCTTCTTAAAGTGACTTCTTAATAGAGTTACAAAATTTCTCTGTCACTTGCACCATTTTTTACAAAGATAGGTCGGTTTGAGGAGAATTTGAGGCTGGTTTGGTTGGTTTCTTACTCTAAACCTTAGAGGGAGGCAGAGTTGGAATTTGGGGGATGGGTTTTGTCTGGAGCTACTGCTTCTCTACTCACTGACCTTGAAGGACAAGCTCTTATCTTTTCTTAATCTTACATTTCTTTCATTCCAGTAGCCTGGAGATAATGTGAGAGAGTCAGGGAGAACACATCTTGAAACAGTTACCCTCTAGTGGATGCTGGTGTCACACTTGCCCTGACTTTAAGTAGCATAAGCTTCATACTGTTTTTGCTGTCTCTTTAGAATTGATAACAAAGCTGTGTCAGCAGAGCAAATCAAATGACCAGTTAACATAACATTCTCAAAGTCTACATGGAGTTTTGCAGGGTTTCACAAAAAATATGGATACTTCCAAAGAATTTTACAGTCAAGTGGGAAAAAAAAGACTAATAGACAAGAAACAATTAGAGACCACAGTGTGACAGGTGGTATATAATTAGGGGTTAATTGGCGCGGTGTCAGGGGAGTTATGAAAAGACAGAAGTTTCGTTCTTTGAGTTTTGCCTCAATTTTGGTAGGATTATGTTGCAGGGAGTGGGGGAAGGAGTCTGAGAATTCAGGAGAATTAACATTTCTGCTGGAGGTATTGAGGGCTTAGTATTAAACCCTTTGATTATAGAATTTTTGCCTGAATTTCAATTCTCAAAAACAGCTGCATTGGGATTGGTGATGGCAGATGCCTAGTTCTCAGATACATAGCATAGTGGTTAAAGTCACTGAACTAGAGCAGGGCTGCCAGTACCAATTAGGAGCTTAGGCAAGTATGTAAGCCACTTGTGACTCAGTTTCCCTCACTCTCATTGGTGGGTGTAATAGCGGAAGATAGCTCACAATGTAGTTGTAAGGACCAAGCAAGTTAACATATGGGAGGTTCTTAGTACCTGGCACAAGGTAATCATAGAATAGTCAATATTAATTGTTCTCTTGACTACTTTTGTTAATATTCATCTTATTCCTCCTGGACTTTCTTTTAGGTGTAGAACTCATGCCCAAGAGTTGGATGTTTTATTGTTGAG